TTGAATTTCATCAGGTTTCTCTCCGCCCAACTCTCCAGCCTGTCCAGGTCTCGCTGTATGGCGGCACTGCCTTCTGGCGTGTCAGCCACTCCTCCCAGTTTTGTCATCAGCAAACTTGCTGAGGGTACACTCCATCCCTTCGTCCAGGTCATTGGTGAATCTATTGAACAGGACTGGACCCAGTCCTGACCCCTGAGGGACACCACTCGTTACTGACCTCCAACCAGACTCTGCACCACCAACCACAACCCTCTGAGCTCTATCTGTCCGCCAGTTCTCAATCCGCCCCGCTGTCCATTCATTTAACCCACACTTCCTGCGCTTGCCCGTGAGGATGATGTGGGAGACGGTGTGTTGCTTCCCGGGCTGCACAGTAGAAATGGGACATGTTGCCTTGGGACTTTAGAGAGGCTCATTGTTTGTCCCATGGGATGTCCTCCTAAAAAGCCCAGTGAAATACGGGCTAGGGCCAACGTCTAGAAGGTTTTGCCCAACTTCAGGTGAAATATTACCGTTGTAATGTCCCTGTCAGCCTGAAAGGGCAAGTCCAGGGAGGGCAGTCCTGACTCTGCGGTTTCTTCACCTTCATATTGATAGCCTGGAAGGTGACACGGAGCGTGTAACATTCGCAGATGCCTCTGAGCCATTAGGGGAGGGAAGCAGCAGCACGCTGGAGATCCGGGTTCACAGGCGGCAGTGTGGGGCTGTTGTAAAAATGCACCTGCTGCCTTTAGCCGTAGTTGTGGGAGGGTTTATAAATAAGGCAGGGGAGGTAATTATTCCTCTCTACTTTATACCTACATGTCCTTGTCCAGGTTTGGCATCACGCTTAGGAACAGAGGAGACAGTCTAGAGCAGACCAAGTAGACAAAAGACCTGTAAGAAAAGGTTGAAGGGCTGGGGCTGCTTAAACCAGGGAAGAGATTTCTGGAGAGAAGTGATAAGTCTACAAATATGCACAGTTCTGTGTGATGGAGAATGACTTCTCTGCGTCCACTGTAGATACAAGAAAAAAATCATGGGGTTGAGTTTTGGTAGAGAAGATTTAAATTGGCATTCAGATATAGGGTTGAAATTTCAAGCTAGGAAAGCTTGAAATGGCAGAGCATTGCTTGATGGTTAGCTAGAGTGACTGTGCCCTTGGTTTGCTGCTCTTTGACACAGGATTTTAAGAGTAACGTAAATCAGCTTCTGCTGATTTGGTGCAGTTGTTCCCTCGGTGAGGCAGATGAGCTAGATGTCCTCCTGCTTCCCTTTAGCACTGCAGTTGTGTAACTCTGTAAAGCATAGACTTCACCCTTCCAGTTCAGGGAGAATAAGAAAAGAGAAATTGGAAACACCGATTTTCTTGATTAACCTGTCATATCGTCATCCTGAACTATCTCAGGAGCTTAGTGAAGACCTAAAGATGAAGTCTGTGGTTCGGGGGTTATTGAATACTCCCCAGTTTGACTAGATGGGAATCAGCATTTTAAATATGGGGGTTGGGCCATGGCTTTCCTCCATCTGCAGTCCGGAGAAGGTCCCTTGGCCTTGCTGGGATTTACCTCCACCTTTTCTTGAGTCAAACTTTGATCCTAGCCAGGTGGAACTGCTTCTGGGTGTCTTCCCAGGTTGGTTGTACGCTCCCTGTTGTACGTAGGGCTACCCAGGAGAGCTCTGAGCCTGCTAACCCGGGTACCCACATCTTCCCGGCTGCTAGCCTACAGCTCGGGACTCTTTCCATACCCCCAGAGATCCCCCTGGGCCGAGAGCAAGCCTGATGGAGACTCCGCGGGGTCTCTCTGCTGAGCCTGTAGCTGATGCTGTGATTTGGGGCCATGCAGCAGCTTAATTCCTATCACTTCCTATTGTAGAAGAAGTCTTCATAGGCCTCCCCAGTAAAGCACTGTATTACGAGGTTGTTTTTTTTTCAGTATCAGATTTCTGCCTCATTTTGTGCGTGAAAAACCATGCCAGGCCCAGACACCACCTCTCACCCCTCTGTGCAGTCGCGCTCCCGGAGTTTCCGTGCTACTGTCCACCCCTGAGCTCGGTTCCGAATGAGCTGTAGAGCTGACAGAGAGCAGCTCATCGGTAGGGCGTGATGCCTCCCGCAGGAGACTGGTGCAATCAGCCCAGGAAGCAGCTCTTCCTTTCCATCTGCTGTGGAGCAAACGGGACGCTGGGAAGCTGAGAGATATGTCTCCATTGCAGATGCCTCCTCCATTGCAGCTGTGGGACAAAGGGAAGAACTCGCTGCCTCTCTCCTGTCCCCCAGCCTATGCAGCAAGATGCTGCCATCACAAATGCTTCAGTTACTTGTTTTGTTCTGGTTTCCTTTAGACCAGGAGTTTGTACGGTCGCTCCTGTGTGTCCTCCCTCCCTTCCTCCAGCTCGCCAAGTAACTCCTGAGCCTCTTGGTTAATTCAGAGACAGGCAATTCCTAATGCTGACATGAAAATCAGCAGCTAGATTGAGGAGAGAAGCCCAAATTAGTGCGCCACTGAGTGAAAGTAGGGTACAACTTCAGTCTGCTCACCCTTCCCCAGACATGGCCCCGTAGCATGTACTTATGGCCGACCAGCCTCTCCGTCACTCATCCGTGAGCGATGCCGTGCAGCTGGGGCTTAGCTGGGGAGATGTGCATGGGAAGATGGGGTTTGGAGATGCAGGATCGGTAGGATCCAGGCTTCAGTGGGTCCTTGGCTCATGGCACAGCTTGTTTTTGTGTTTTTCGAAATGCCAGAACCTGGAGAGGCAGCTCCAGCAGTTGAAAGCCATCTATCAGCTGAACCAGGAGAAGCTGGAGTACAGCCTTCAGGTGCTTAAGAAGCAGGATGAGGAGAACACCATCATCAGATCCCAGCAGAGGAGGAAGCTCAACCGGTAAAAATGCATCCCTGGAAGATGGGGATCTGCCTTACCTGCCATCACCTCCCCTACGCCATTTTTTGTGGAGCCCATCACGTAGCCCAGGCCAACGAGCTGTGTCCCAACCCATCCCTGGGCAGGGGTTAGCCCAGGGCAGGGCCATCTCAAGAGCACTTTGAACAGGCTGGCCACGGCCAACCTGTGCCAGCTGCATCCGCGTCAGGCAGGCCTTGGCGTTGAGTAGTCACTAGTAGATAAGCAACCCCGAGTCCCAACGTCTTCGTACAAGCTGGGCACTCCCGAAGGTGCCTTTTCGGGGATGCTCAGCTTCGCTGTCCCTCCCCAGGCTCCACAGCTTGCTCAATAACCTGAGAACAAAACTCTCCAAACAAGAGAAGCAGTTCGGAGAGGAGAACCAGAGTCTGGCAGCCGACTGCGAGCGCATCACGGGGCAGTGCAAGGAGGTGCAGAGGAGCATGAGGTGGGGTGTGCGCGGGCATCCACCCATGCCGAGGCCTCGGAGCACCTAAGTGAGGTGCAGGGGGAGCTGACTTGTCGTTTTGGGGCACAGAGCCTCCTTCCATGGGCCATCTCCCTTCTGCACAGGCACTTTGCTCTCAGCGACGCTGAGAAGTTCACAGAGGTCTGGCTTATGAACGAGGAGGAAGCCAAAGGGCTGATGCGGAAAGCCCTCGATGCAGATCGCATCATTCACACCCAGCAACTGGGGCTGCCCTGGGAAGAGCCTCGTTACTGGTTCCTGAATAACATCGGCCCCCTCGGGCATTACGGAACAAAGAGGATGGCGACCAAGCTGGCTGCGGAGGTCTTGACAGGTGGGCTGCGCAGTGCCCTTGTCACCCTTGTGGCACTGGGAGACCCTCCCCACCCTCCGTGACAGCCCCTACTCTCACTCCTGTCCTTGCCATTGCGAAGTGGGATCTTGCAGGGGGTGACATTGTGAGCCCAGGCAGGGGCTGTCCCCAGCCCTGAGCTGGCTCATGCCAAGTCAGCCTGGAGATCTTTGCACTGTGCTCCCAATTCCAGACCAAGGGCCAGCTCGTGTCCCAAGGTCTTCAGGTGGCTTTCCAGGTTGCAGGGAACACTTGTGATTTCCCTGCTGACTCCTGCAGTGATGTGACGGGGGAGCAGAGCCTGGAGAGCACAGTCAAAGCACAAAGGTTTTTGCTCCCCCTTCTTTCTCCGTGTTTCAGAGGGCAGCTCTGGAGGACAGGAGGAGGAAGGGAGAGAGAAGGAGAAGGAAGGAGCGGGCAGTGTAGAAGGAGGAAAAGAAAACACAGCGAAGGTTGAGGAGAGAGTCCCACCTCTGCGAAATATCTCCAAGAAGACTGCCAAGAGGATCCTGGAGCTCGTGAGCGACGAGTCGGTGCGTGACGATGTAGCACACGATCAGGGAGCAGGCGTGCTGTCCCCTGGTTGCTCCAGCTTGTAGTGGATCGCTTCCAAGCTCCACGTCTTGGGGTGAGGGCTTCTGCATGGCACTGCCTTGCTCTGCCAGGCAGCCTGTTGTCAGAGAGCTGCCCCAGGGGCCGAGAGAGGATCTCCAGGTCTTTCCACTGTGTGGCGCATGTATATGATGCTAATAAAAGGTATTGGTGGGTACAATTGCCCAAATCCACAGCTCCCCAGACCAGAATAAGCACAGGCAAACCTGCTGCATCTGATGCTCCAGGCTGACCATCCCCGGAGACAGAGGAGCTTCAGATCTTGAGGTCTTTTTGGCATCACTGTGCTGGTGACTTTTATCTTCCCTGTCTGCTGGGTGGCTGGTCCAGAGCCTCCTGGCCCTGCCAGCCTCAACGCTGCCCGGCCGCTGCCCACCCTCCCCGCTCAGCCTGCCATCGCAGGGTGGCGCGGCCATAGCATGGCATGAGCTGGCTTCTGGGGGACGCTATTTCACAGAATCGTAGAATCTCCTAGATTGGAAAAGACCTGTGAGATCATCCAGTCCAATCGTTAACCTAACACTGCCAAGCCCACCACAAAACCATGTCCCTGAGCGCTATATCTACAGGACCCTTAAACACCTCCAGGGATGGAGACTCCACCACCGCCCTGGGTAACGCGGTCCAATGCTTGATGATCCTTTCAGTAAAGAAATTCTTCCTAATACCCAATGAATTCCTCTGCACCTTCTCTGCTTGTCTCCCAAGGGTTTCCTCATTGAGAGCAAGCTGCTGAGGCCCCTGCAGGCGCTGGGGAGGCATGAGCGCACCCTCATGAAGCTCGACTCCATCTTTGCGGTGAGTTGTGGCTTGGCTCGTCGGGGGCTGCCGGGAAAGCTGGCAGTCACCAGGGAAAGCTCTCTGCTCTGGGTCTGTGTGGCGCAGGACTGAGCTACCCCAGGGAGGTGCGGCCGGGCTGCTGGGGGGACTCTGGGGCAGCAAGGGGAGAGGAACACTGCGAGAGGGTGTGAAGCACTGTGGTCAGACGCTTCTCAGCTCAAGGGCATCCTGCTGAGGAATTAAACATCTCCAGGGCCTCCCCAACCTCTTCTCAGACTCTCCCATCCACAGATACCCCCGGCTGTCCCACACTAGCCACTTCTTACCACCCTCTCCCACCTTGCGTGGCATTGCCCAAGGGGCACTCTCTGCTCCTGGGAAATGCTCTTCTTTTCGCTCCTCCTCCCATGACTTCTCTGAGGGATGCTAACCTGTTTCCTCTACTCCCCAAGGCCCTCGAGATCGACAGCGAGGATGACCTGTACCAGCTGGTGGATTTTTTCCTGAAGTACAAAGCCCAGGAGGGGGCGGTCAGCCAGGTGGGACCACCAGGGACAGCAGTGGGGAGATCCCAGCAGAGCCAGGGGTCCAGGAAAAGGGGAGCAGTACATCTCCTGAACACCCAGGGAAGGCAGAGAGGGGGACCAGAGTGCTGACCCTGAAATGTTTCCCTGTGACCGGATAAGGAAGGTGAACATGCCAGAGCTGAGGGGTTGTAATCTTCTGCTGTGGCTGAACAGAGCCTCTTGCACATGAATTTTTCACAGAATCACGGAATTTTCCGAGTTGGAAGGGACCTCTCGAGACCACCCAGCCCCACTCCCCTGCTAAAGCAGGACTGCCCAGAGCACATCCCTCAGGACTGCATCCAGGCGGGTCTTGAAAACCTCCAGAGAAGGGGACTCCACCCCCTCCCTGGGCAGCCTCTGCCACTGCTCTGTCACCCCAACCCTAAAGAAGGGTTTCCGTCTGTTGGAACGGAACTTCCTCTCTTCCAACTTGTGCCCATCGCCCCTCGTCCTGTCCCTGGGAACCACCGAGAAGAGTCTGGCTCCATCCTCCTGCAACCCCCCCTTTAGATACCTGTATGCCATAATAAGGTCTCCCCTCAGCCTTCTCCTCTCCAGGCTAAAGAGTCCCAGCGCTCTCAGCCTCTCCTCATACGGGCGATGCTCCAGTCCCTCAGTCATCTTGGTTGTCCTTCGCTGGACTCGCTCCAGCAGTTCCCTGTCCCTCTTGAGCTGGGGAGCCCAAAACTGGACCCAGTATTCCAGTTGTGGCCTCACCAGTGCCGAGTAGAGGGGGAGAATGACCTCCCTTTTCCCTCAGCTCCCTAAATTTGCCAAGGGAGAAGGCTGCGGGCAGCTGGAAGCACCCAGGGGGAAGGTGGCTCTTGGGGAGGAGGATGTGGTGGGAGACACAGTGCCCAGCTTGCTGGCCTTCCCTCCAGAGCCAGGACAGCCCAGGTGGAGAAGATGTCACAGATCCAGCTGAGGACAGAGAGGACGGTGGATCCGGTGCCCAGAGGGATGAGCTCAAATCCCCTCGGAGCTCGCTGGGCTCCCTTCCATCTGCGTACATCCATGCTGATGATGTCCTAAAGATCCTGAAAATGTTTGTGCGGGATTTTGACAAGCTGAGGTAGGACTAGGGGCAGAGCGGGGCTGTTGTCACTGGGAGGGAGCCAGACTGGGGCGCAGAGTGGGGGGGCTATGGAGGTCCCACCAGGGCAAGGGGGTACAGACAGTGCCTGAGCGAGGGACGGTTGGGGACAGCAAGGCAGGAGATGACCAGCAGCCCCGGGGAGGGAAGCAAAGCCATGGGGCAGGCAGGCACCAGCTGTGGGGTCATGCTCATTCGTGTGACAATGGGGTTGGACTATATCTCAGAAGGTCCTTTCCAGCCCCTGCTATGCTGTGATTCCGTGGTGGTCCTCAGTGTGGCTGAGCTGGGTATGGAGATGTTCCTCACCCATGAAGAGCTGAGCCCCAGGGCTTTGTTCTCTGTCCCCCAGGGAGAAGGACGGATCAGCAAAGGAGGTGCTACAGGTGCGGGACAGCTCTAAGGACGGCGAGTACTGGGAAGCCCTGGCGCACGTTATCCCTGAGCCGACGCTGAAGCTGTGGGACGCGCTGGCGGTGGCACTGGAGGAATATTAGTGAGTGCCTGGCAGCGCTGCTGGGGACAGGGCGGGCTGGGGGGACCGCGGCGGGGCTGGCACCCGCTAACCGTGTCAACCCTCTGCCCTTTTTTGCCCAGCGAGGTCCTCACGCGGAGGGCCAGCCTGCTGGCCGAAGCAGCCGTCCTGCGGCAGCAGAACTCGGAGCTGTACCTGCTGCTGGAGGAGTACGTCGGCTCGGGGGTGAGTGTGGCATCCTCCTCCTCCCCTGCAGCCTGGGGACACCCCACCCCGCGGGCCCGACGCAGAGGTCCCAGACACGGTGGGGGCTTTGGAGCCCATCGCTGTGGGGCTCAGGGTGCTTCTCCCCGCAGGTGAACAGCAAGCTGCTCTCCCCTCCCACGCAGTGGATGGACCTGAACCTGTCCTGCCCCGGGGAAACGCGGTGAGTGCCCAAGGCCAGGGCACGGCTTTTCTCCGCCCCGAGCGGAACCAGGACAATCCTAGCAGGGACTAATAAACCCTTCCTAAACCTGAGCTGGGAGAGCGCGTGTGGCCTGCGAGGAGCACCCCTCTCGCCTCTGAATTTGCTGGCGAGCCTCAGCCAAGCATCCCACCCCAAAGCAGGGGACTCACGGCGCTGTGGCGAAGCGTTTCCCCCCTTGTGCTGCAAAGCTGTGGGGTCTGTGTCCTCCCTTCCCTCTGTGGAGCCGAAACCGGGCAGGAACCTTCACCTCCCGCAGCTCAGCATCCTCACTGTCCCTGGGCGTCCGGGCTTCGAGAGAGCCCACCCTTCTTTACCTGATTTTACACCTTATTCCCCCTTTTCCCTTGGCTGCCCCAACCCCTTTTCTCCCCCCTGGCCACCTCCCAAACAACCCACACCCAATTACTTTTCCCTCATCGATCCCGGTGTTGCTAAATCTGTACCTAAATTGTGCATTTCCGAGGCAATATCAGCCCAAAGTGGTGCTACCGGCAGAGTTGTCTCCGGGAGGGCTGCGTCGCATCTGTCACTCCCTTCCACCCCTCCGGTTCACACCAGTGATATCTCATTCCCAGTCCAGGCTTCCTGGCCAGCTTTATCTTTAGCCTTGACTCCCCTGCTTAACGCTAACACACTGCGAGCAGTTTCTCATACCAGAGCAGAATAACACCATTTTTTTTTTGCTCAATGGGTATCTGTACCCTTGAATACTTTTCACTTTGCTCCCAGTCCCCATCAGGGGCTCTGGCCAGCGTGGAGGGCTGGTGGTCCCACGGAACGGCTTGCTCGCCGTACTGCTGGGCTACAGCGGGATCCACTGGGCAGAAAGGTGAACAAAAAGGCCCAAGATTGAGAGGGTGGAAAGCAGGGAAAGGGTTTTGGGGCAGGGATGGGCAGGCTGCCTGGGACAGGGGAGCGGCAGACACCACCCAAAGCCCAACACATCTCAGCTCGCTCTGCCCCTGCTCCCGGGACCGCCGAGGCGCCAGCTCCTGGAGTCAGGGGATGTTTGGGAACCCGGCACTGAGCAGCCTCCAGCTCCTGTAATCACAGAGGGAACTGCTGGAGAGAGTCCAGCGAAGGGCAACCAAGATGATTGAGGGACTGGAGCATCTCCCGTATGAGGAGAGGCTGAGAGCGCTGGGACTCTTTAGCCTGGAGAGGAGAAGGCTGAGGGGAGACCTTATTATGGCATACACGTATCTAAAGGGGGGGTTGCAGGAGGATGGAGCCAGACTCTTCTCGGTGGTTCCCAGGGACAGGACGAGGGGCGATGGGCACAAGTTGGAAGAGAGGAAGTTCCGTTCCAACAGACGGAAACCCTTCTTTAGGGTTGGGGTGACAGAGCAGTGGCAGAGGCTGCCCAGGGAGGGGGTGGAGTCCCCTTCTCTGGAGGTTTTCAAGCCCCGCCTGGATGCAGTCCTGAGGGATGTGCTCTGGGCAGTCCCGCTTTAGCAGGGGAGTGGGGCTGGGTGGTCTCTACAGGTCCCTTCCAACTCGGAAAATTCTGTGATTCTGTGAAATGAACAAGTGGGTGTCAGCGGTCCCAGCCCCACGGGGCGGGGAGCGGACAGGAGAGCCCTAAATCCCCCCAACCCCACACGGGACAAACGGGGGGTAGGAGGGTCGTGAACTGATGATGGTGCCCCGCAAGCGGCAGGAGGAGGGCTGAAGTCTGGTGCGGGGGGGGTGGGGGGACG